AAGGGGGGGATTTGGTTTTTTTTAGGGGGGGTTTATACACATAAAAATACCAAAGGGGGGGGGGTTAACCCCCAAACACCCCCCCCCCCCCCCCCCCTGCGTATGCGCCTGGTTGATGGCACTGGGCACTGGGCCCTCATAATTTCGTTCATGTACTATTCCCTCAAGTTACCCTCCATACCTTGCATTTTCAATTTTTAAATGATTTGTCCACTAAATGTTTTTTTTCTCAATTGATTTAATGACATGATAATATATTTTGACTTTTGTTAATAATGTATAGTATTATGTACCTAGTTTCATAGTTTGTATATTACTTTTATTATGTTGAAATATGCAGAAATAAAGCATCAAGGCTTTTCCAACCACCACTCAGTGATAGAACCGAGGGTAGCACCCCCAAAATTCAGGCTGGCCTAAGGTCCCTGAATAACCGGGACATCGGTGTTCACTCCTCTGTCATGACTGTATTATACGGCTTTTCATTTCCAATTAATTGTTGGAATATGTTTACACATAAACAATAGTCCGCTATAAGTTAAGATTTTTAAGAGAGAGATGGAAAAAGAGACTTACAAGATGGACATTACATCCTACCCCTTATAATGTTTCCCACTCGATCTCTTGAAAACCCCTATTTGCTCCCGCCCGGCGCCCGGGTTGGTCGCCCCCTATACGCTGAACAGTGCCTCCTCGATAAATATTGAAACCAATTTATTTTATTTATTTATTTATTTATTTATTTATGCATGTTCACAATTTCACAATTCATTGAAGTTAACATCACATGAAAATTAATATAAGATGACAAATCATTTTCAATTTTACAATACATTTGAATTAACTTCACGTGAAAAAAGAATATAACATTGTTTTATCAAAGACAAGTTGCAACTTATATACAGTTTGAAGAATGAACACACAAAGGTGATGAAACATAAGCAAATAGAGCTTGAATCGTTACAACACCTTTCAAATATATAATATATGACAAATAAAATTCCTAAAGTTTTGTAGTGAACTATTTACACTATTTACAAAGTTTTTAAAAAAAGAAAGAAAAAAAAATTCGTTAGGCCTAGTAACAAAATTATGTTAGATTTAATTAGAACTGATAAATAGATTATAATGTAAGTAATATCTTACATCTGTGAAATGATAATACATTTGAGTGCTCTTTTAAAAGAGTTTGTTGATTTTATATTTCGAATATCATTAGGTAAAGAATTCCATACATCTGGACCTCTGTGTCTGATTGATTTCTGGGCTAATGTAGTGTGAGGATTGACCACATGTAAATTCGATGCTTGCCTTGTTGAATACGAATGAACCATGTTATTAGGTTGGAACATTGAAGATAATGACGTAGGTAATAATTTGATATTAAAACGGAACATAAATATGGCAATTTGGAGGAAGTTAATATCATCAATCTTTAAGCATTTCAGTTTAACAAATAGTGGGGTAGCATGGTCACGATAACCAGCTCGGGTACATATGCGTACAGCTTTCTTTTGTAACAGAAGAATATTATTAGTCACACACTTGGATGTTGCCCACAAAATATTACAATAAGAAATGTGTGGTAAAATTAGACTATTATATAGCATAAGTAATATTCTATCAGAAACAAAACATTTATTCTATACAGTACGCCAATATTTCTGGAGATTGGTGTAACAATGTGTTTTACATGGTCGCTCCAGTCAAGTTTTTCATTGATATAGACACCAAGGAATTTCGTACATGTCTTTCTCTCTAAAGAAATATCATCTAGTTTAATATTAAGAGCAAGGTTGTCATTAGATTTTCTACCTCTAAAATGAATATAATTTGTTTTAAGAACATTGAGAGAGAGCACATTACTTCTAAACCATAAAGTCAACTTTGGTAGTTCCGAATTAGTTTCTGTTCTAGAGTGTTGATTTCACGATGAGACAAGAAAACACTCGTATCATCTGCAAATAAGGTATAATTTAAAATTTTAGATACATTACAAATATCATTGATATAAATGAGAAATAATAATGGGCCCAGGATGGATCCCTGCGGAACACCACATTTAAGATACAGAATGTCAGAGTTAACAGAGTTATAATAAGTGTACTGTCTTCTCATAGATAAGTAACTCGCAAGCCATTGTAAAGCTATGCCCCTTATTCCATAATGCTCTAACTTAGAAAGAAGAATTGAATGGTCAAGTGTGTCAAATGCTTTACTCAGATCCATAAATACACCAATGACATGCTCGTGAGCAGCGAGTGCACTTGAAACGCGGTCATAAAATTTCAGTAGCGCAAGATCTGTAGAATGAGACCGCCGAAATCCAAATTGATCAGGATTCAATGATTCACATTTACTGTAGAGCCTGTTATAAAACAATTCGTTCCAAAAACTTTAGAAAAGCTAGGCAGTAATGAGATTGGTCTATAGTTAGAAACGACCATCACGTCATCTTTTTTATGAACAGGAATCACCTTTGCCAGTTTGAAAGAAGAAGGAAACACTCCGGTCATCAAAGAGAGATTGCAAATGTGTACAAGAGGCGTTAGAATTGAACCAATGATCTTTTTCAATAAAAATGTACTGATTTCATCATGCCCAGAAGAGTGACTGTTTTTTAGCGATCTCACTACATTGAGAATTTCAATGTAATCCGTTGGTTTTAGAAAAATAGAAGTATTAGATGGTTCATTGAGGTACTGTGTGAAGTTGGTTCCATCTTTATTTATCATCTTGGCTTGATTTAGGCCAACATTGACAAAATAAGTGTTATATGCATTTGCAATATCTTCTGCATTTGTTATTTCTTTATTACCATGAACAATTTTTCCTGGAACTTCATGTTTTCCTTGCTTGCATAAAATATCCTTTACAATTTTCCAGGTAGATGAAATATTGCCATTTGCACTTTCAAACCTCTTAGAGTAAAATAAACGACGTGAACATCGTTATTGATGTTAATTTATTTCTATATTTCTTGTATTTTTCAACTTTATCTGGTGATCGTTTTTCATACTTCTTTTATATAGGACGTTTCTTCTTTTTATCGATCTAAGTATCCCTCTAGTAATCCATGGATGATTTCCTTTCTCTTGTCGTTTAATTGCACATATGGAAAATGTTTATTAAAAAGATAATAAAACTTATTCCAAAATACTTCAAAAGCACTTTCTACATCGTCACATATTATAACATCATTCCAATTTTCCGAGAGTAAATCTTCATTCAGACAAGAAACATTTTCATCAGTAATTTTACGTTTCTTTTCAATTCGCCTTTTTTGTGTTACATCAGTTTTGTGGTCAAAAAGTAAGCAAAACACAGGTAGATGATCCGATATTTCACAATAAAACAGACCTGATTGAGAAAAGCCTTTAGATGTTTTTACGAAAATATTATCCAGCAATGAAGATGAATGATTACTAATTCTGGTTGGTTTATCAATCATAACACTGAATGCATTGGAATCTAGAATATTTCGAAGACGAAGTGAGTTTGGACTATTATTCAGTAAATCGATATTAAAATCACCCATAACACAAACAGATTTATTGAAAGAGTTGACAGTTGACATGAGCAATTCTAAATCATTTAAAAAGTCTACCATGTCTGTGCTGGGCGGTCTGTATATAACGCAAACAATAAAATTCTTTTCATTAGGAAGATCAACTTCAATACATAAGAGTTCCGCAGTTTCGTTTTGGAAAGAAATATCAGTCTGGGCTTAAAAGATAAAGAATCCGCGATATACATTAGAAGTCCGCCGCCCCTACCACTCGACCTGTCTTTACGTATTTGTTTGTAACCTTCTAAGGTATATAAAGGTGGAGATTGAGGATTTAACCATGTTTCGGTAATGCCTATAACCAGGCGCGCCGGAAGCAGTTTGGGATTGGGGGGGCAAACATTCCAGGGGGCTCACCTTCCAGGGGCAGTGACGTAATGAGAAAAAAAGTTCGGAGGGGGGGGGGGGGCAGACGAAAAATCTGCATCACCACCAGTCTTACACGTTACATGCAGGTCCCGCGGAACGTTTTTCAAAGTGGAGTATTATCGATCAGGTAGAGCGTAAATTATCGTGGGGTCCAAGGGCATGAGCCTCGGTAGGGGGTCAAGGGGCTGAGCCCCCGGAAGCTCAGGGGTTTTAGGTATTAATTACGGTTAGATGAGCATCCAGGGGCCCTCTTTAAGGCCATTGACGTGTTCCAAGGGAGGGGGGGGAGCCACCAGAAGCTCAGAGGTTTAATATTTAACGACGGTCAGATGAGCATCCAGGGGCCGTCTTAGGGCCCTTGGTGGGGTCCAGGGGGCAGAGCCCCCGGTAGCTCAGGGGTTTTAGGTATTTAATTACGGTCAGATGAGCATCCATGGGCCTGCCTTAGGGCCCTTGGTGGGGTCCAGGGGGCGGAGCCCCCGGAAGCTCAGGGGTTTTAGGTATTTAATTAAGGTCAGATGAGCATCCAGGGGACCGCCTTATGGGGCCCTTGGTGGGATCCAGGGGGCAGAGCCCCGGAAGCTCAGGGGTTTTAGGTATTTAATAACGGTCAGATGAGCATCCAGGGGCCCGCCTTAGGGCCCTTGGTGGGGTTCCAGGGGGCAGAGCTACCGGAAGCTCAGGGGTTACGTATTTAATTACGGTCAGATGAGCATCCAGGGGCCCGCCTTAGGGCCCTTGGTGGGGTCCAGGGGGCAGAGCCCCCGGAAGCTCTGTGGTTTTAGGTATTTAATTACGGTCAGATGAGCATCCAGGGGCCCGCCTTAGATCCCTTGGTAGGGTCCAGGGGGCAGAGCCCCTGGAAGCTCGGGGGGTTTGAGGTATTTAATTACGGTCAGATGAGCATCCAGGGGCCCGCCTTAGGTCCCTTGGTGGGGTCCGGGGGCGGAGCCCCCGCAAGCTCTGGGGTTTTAAGCATTTAATTACGGTCAGATGAGCATTTTTATACCTTATTTGTGACATTGGCAGGTCATTTATTTTTTTCTCCGTCTTTCTTTCTTTTTCTCTTTAACATACTTTTTCATAAAGGAGTGGGGGGGGGGGGGGGGGGGCTCGAGCCTTGCCACTTTGCAGACCATGACATAAAGGCTTCTAAATAAGCGTATTTTCGCCTAACTGTAATTTGGGAATTTCTTATTTTCCAACAAACGCATAAAAAGGTATGACTTACAAAAAAATGGAGAAAAAATGCCGGAAAATCATGTCACAACATCAACATTTGTAAATCACTTGTTTCGAATAAGAAATACACCACCCCCCCCCCCCCCCTCCCCATCAGTACGCCAGCGTTCAGGGGCTCATGTCTTCTCGCCCCTATTACAAAAAAACGGACACGCTTTCCCATTCTCGCACAATATGTCCACGATATATGCGCGTATCGCTATTATAGAGACCTCCATTGATAAATACCGTGTAGGTGACATGCGCAATGTTTATGAAATTTAATTCCTGTGAACTTTCCTTTTTCTTTGAATGGAATTGTATATGTGATTTAATTCAGGTTTTTATTATTGTTACGTTCTTTTGGATTAAAAATACAAACCATGTTTACTCCTTTACTGTTTTGTTTTTTTTGGAGGGGGGGGGGGCGTTTGGGGGGGCAAAAATGCGTTTTGCCCCCCCCCACTTTTTTGACTGGGGGGGGGGGGCAACTGCCCCCCCTGCCCCCCCCACTTCCGGCGCCTATGCCTATAACTGAGCAATCGAACTGTAATGATGATAACAGGATATTCATATTTTCATTATTCTTACTTAGACTCCGAACATTACAATGTAAGAAACTAAGAAATTGTGTTTGTTGAGGTTGATCCTTTACAGGATTAAACTCATTAGGTACGTAGTACCTACAGTCAATATTTGGTTGTAATTGGTAATCTTCATTAGTCATTTAAGGATGAGAGTCTTGCAGAATTCGATATTTTGGTTGAATATAGTGACAGCATAAGTTGACACTGATTGGGGAGGCAAACTTGCCAAAAGAGCGAAATAAAATAAAAACAGAAAAGATATGAAAACATATGAAATAATAATCATCGTTATGGAGTTTAAGAATGTTAATCGTAAATATTGCCTACTTTATTAACTTGTTGATATCGTCTACTTCAACTTCTTGATATCATCCTTGGTATGGATGATGATCGCAGGTTCCTTCTCATCTTTCCTCACGAATATCTTGCCGTTGACGGTCCACACGAACTTGAAGCCCGCCTTCTTCCTTTCGACGTTCACGATTCCGAGCAGCTCTCGGGTAACGCTCGTCAGGTTCTCGTTGACGTAGAATTTGTTTGCACTGCCATGAACACCGATGTCCCTGGTTGTGACATTCTTCAGCTTTTTTCGGCCATCGTATACTGCATTCCTTGCTCTGCGACTGTTAAATCGTACAATGATGGATCGTGGTCGACGATCTGCCCCCCAGCCCTTGGAGCGCCCAACCGATGCGCAATGTCGATGTCACTCTCCTTCAGTGAAGGGGCAACACATTGGGCGACCTTCAAAGCCAACACAAGAGGACTCTCTTCTCTGCTCTCAGGAATTCCCGCCAGCTCCAAGTTTATCCTCCTATGGTACTGGTCGAGGTCATGTACCTTGTGGTGGAGGTCGCTGACCTGGTTATCCAGCGACTTATTCTTAGCCTTCAGTTCTTCGTTGTCTTTTTCCAACCGTCGTGTCGTCACCTTTAGTTCCTCGAATTTTTCATCCAGGAAGGATAGAGAGCGGACGATGTCTGTCTGCCCTTCCCTCACTTCCTGAATGGCAGCCTCAAGCAGATTCAACTTGCCAGTCAAGGCGTGCGAAAGTGTTTGTAACTCCTCCTTGAAAAGAGACATGATATCGGGTTGGCTCCCACAAGGCCCAGCTCCTAGTTCCTCACTTACTTGCAACCTGGTTTTCTTCGGCATTGTTACGTCAGGCGTCACTGAGATGGCGTATTATGGATTTTGTCTAGATGCGCTCTTCTGCGCTTTTGTACGCTTCAATAGTTGTGCGCAGTATACTGCGACTTTCAAAAAGGAAATAGAATAGCTCTATTGAAAAAAAACTATTAAAAAATACAAGTTTTTCGAAAATATCACAAAATCGTCACCTCGTCATTCCAAGATGGGTTTAGAATCGGAGTCCTGGTTTGAAGAGCTAACACCCGATATAAAAATTATCATGCATAGTCCATTGCATTCTGTTAAAAATCAGTCATTACCGGGAGCTCAACAAAACACGTCCACCCAGGATGAGTTCTGTTCTGGTATTTGTATTTATATTTACTGATTGTACATCTTATAATGATTTGCATGGTTCCATTTAGCCTGAATAATAGATTCATCGATTTATCTTCCATCTCACTACCCGTATTTTGTAATGCAAATTAATACCATCTCAATATTCTGCAAGAAAATAATAATTATGAGCCATCAGGATCATACTCAGTGAAAATCCAACGTTATATTTTGTTCATTTACTGTCAAAATGAATGTGAGTATATAGCCACGCCCTATGTCTCATATAAAATTGTAACAACTTATCCGCAATAATAATAAAGTGCGACGATCATAATTTGGAATTACGAGCCAGAATACAGATTCTGCATGTTAGTTTGGCATGAAATATAAAAACTTGGACGAAGCAGCAGTGACGTAATTCTCACCAAACCGTCATCCAATGAGAAGAGAGCGTATTATACAGTGCGTCCCAGAAAAAAAACGAAACCTGGAATTATTGATGTTTTATCGTAACTTAATCACAATTATAATTAATAAATAACACATATTTTTACAGCCTAGATCCTCCTCTTTCATTTGATGCAACTCATATGATGCATATATCACGCATGAGTGATCAAAAACAATTTGAAGAAAGGGTACCAAAAAGTCATTTCGCGGACGGTATCTGAATTTCAAAGAGAAAATCACAGTTCCAGAAAGTTCAGTTCCTGCCCTTTCATAATGACACCTCAATCAGGAAAAATGAGCCAGGAATTACAAAGTTCTGTTTGTTTAAATAATGCTTGCATTTCCAAATTGAATTCATAAAATCCATTCCACTGGCTGCCTGCTCTAAAAACAAAGAAGACGAAAGACTTCATGTAGACTTCACGATCAGCCATGCATAAAGTTTTTTGTCAACTCTGTGTTGCTACGGCAGGCAGCCAGAGAAAATTAATTATTTTAATAAAATTATGGAAATGCAAGCATCACTTTAATTATGTGTCATTTATTAATTATAATTGAGATCAATTTATGATTTTTTTCTGGGACGCACTGTATAGAGAAAAAAGACCCAGCTGGAGGTTGGGAAACGTATGAAACGTTTAATTGCCTGTACGCGAAGCAATGCTATTAATTCTAAATTTGTTGTAGGTCATCTCAAATTCTCCATTTGTTCGTCTCTCTCTCTCCTCTCTCTCTCTCCTCTCTCTCTCTCTCTCTCTCTCTCCCCCCCCCCCCACCTCCTCCTCCTCCTGGGGGGGGGGGGGGGGGGTTGGCGGTAAGGCTCATAGTAGCAATGGTAATAGTCCATTCCAAAGAAAGAGGAACATTCACAACATTTTCTCTTTTGGATAGAAAGATTACACAGCTTGTTTATGACTGGAAAAAAAAAATCATTATTATGTTCAACAAGAAAATAAATTAAGATGCTGGCTTAAAAGGGCGCAAAAATGACGACACGTGCGGGGGCGTCAATCGGGTGAGGGGGGGGGGGGGTGAGACTTCCCCCAATATGGGTATGCTGTAATTTACTTACTCTTCAATTCTTTTCCAAACAAACCCCTGCGCTGCTATATCACAAATAATATATACGATTTAACAAATCTGACAGCATTTTGCCAAACACCACTTGAGCTGCGTGAACCCAAAGTACCAAAATTGAGCCCTCCGGCCGCTGCGTTTGTTTGTTGACATAGAGAACGGGCATAATATTCTGTTTAAATATATCAATGGTTTATACTAACGTTACATCCATCATAAATTATTTAAGAACATTCTTATTAGTATAACTTATGATGTATCTACTTTAATAGTGGACTAACAAAATGCTCTGACTCTTTTCACGGTTTTACCCTACTGCCCCCTTTACGCAGATGGCCTGTTGAATAAATCATTAAATTTCCCGTTTTTGAAGAGTTCCTTTGAAGAAGCAAAAAATCAGTGCATTCTCTTCTCCCAATCCACTCCCTCTCGCTTTCTATTCCCTTTCTCTCTTTCCTCTGTTTAGCACTTTAGGCCGAACTTCAGCCTGTCTCTCTGTCTATATCTGTCTCTCTCCCTTTCCCCCATTTACAGTCGCTTATCTTCATTACCCTAATTATTAGTGATAATGTCCACCTGAGACTGCAAAACTGCTTCGAGTAACATCCTATATAGGCTGGTCGAATCGGAATAATTATAATAATGGTCCCCGCGTAATACATGTACCATTGAAATGGACCATGGTGCTGTATAGCTCTTTGTTATTCGGGAATTTCCGCCCTGGCAGATGTTTGATTCGTAAGTAGGTTTATATTTTTTGTTGGGTAGTAATATTCTCAGATCATCAAGCAGTGGCGTATATGGGCGGGGTTAAGCGAGTGGGAGGGGTGGGGCCTCCCACAGTGAGAGCTTTTTGCATTTCTAAGTTTGTAATTGTGCATCTTAGTGCATATTTTTATGGTCTGTTTTATCGACATGAAAAGACATTCATGATTAATAAAAGGTAGGAGTTTCGCTACATCAAAATAAGCTGTAGACATTACAACTCAACATAATCATGCAAAAGTGAATATTACTTTAAAAATAAGTCGGTTATACGACGTGTAACCTCTGCGCATGTAACTTAACCTCGCTGTGAACAATGTGCATATTCGAGTGTTGTGATTGGTTGGAAGTTCAGCGAATGATGTGTAATAAAAAATGAGACCTTCTGTGATTGGCTTTTTGAATACTGAAGTTATAAATAAAATATTCGTTGTAATTTATAATAATGATGCTAATAATGACCCGGGTAGGCCTATATAAAACAAAAATCTGTCAAAGGGAAGATTGCCCCCTTTCTAAAAAAAAAAAAAATACCATCACCTATGTAAAGACAAACAATATTCAACTCGGACTAGGATGTATAAAGTACAGGCAAAACAGACAGAGAGGCAAGACACTAAAAAAACGAAAGCAATAACCAATCCAAAAAATGTAACAGAGTGACGAAACAAACAAAAATCAACGACAACAACAGCAGATAATAAACTAAATAAGCCTTTTGTTTTGAATATAAATTATACTCGAAAGAGTATTATAGAGGGCGTCAGCAATGAAACCTAGTCAAAGTAGATGAAGTGATCGACGTTTACTGCATTTGAAACACCACCACCACCCGACACCACCACCACCACCACCATCATCATCACCATCACCACCGCCGCCGCCGCCACCACCACCACCACCACCACCACCACCAACAACATATACAACATTTACAACAACATCAACAGAAACAATAACAATAATGACAAACAGCAAAACAACCACGAAAATACTGATATAAATAAAAGACGGTTGCAATTCTATTCACAAAAAAGTGGCGCTATTTATTTGTAATAATTCATAAAAAAGATCGTCGCCGGGCGGGCTCAAAATAACTTGCATACGTCTGTGACTCGGTAACATTGTTGAATGTTGACTTAAAAAACTGCGTAACTTTTGTATGAAATGTTACTAACTTTCCCTCTGCACAAAATCTGAAAAATTCAACCCACAATGAATTCTCCCAACGGTTTTTCCATGAAAATAAGACATAAAATATAGACTGACAGGCTTTTAAAAACTTTCAACATGTAAATGTCTATAGAATGGTATATAAAGCCAATTCATGGCTTTGTGATGATTTACATTCACCTAAAACGTAACTAAATTGTAATATAATACAATAAGTTGGGAGAAGGAATCGATCAGATCCGTTTTTGAATTTTTCACAACTTTTTATGGTCCGTTTTCGCTCAAAATTTCAGATTATCTTAATAATTGTACATTTAGCATTGCAGTCACTACCTTAGCACCATTTTCTCTCATGTGAACATTATGTTACCAAGTTGCATAATATATAGTTTTCTGTACATGTTATTATTTTTGAAATAATCACCCTACCCTAATCCGTGCCCGACTCATCTGGGCCCCGTCTAAATTTGAAGAGTTGCGATCGATCTAATTATTTATTCCGCTTTATTTAAACAGGGTAGCCCCGTCAGCCCGGCCCCCCACTCCGAGAACGGACGGACCCCATGCGTGTTGCCAAAATGTCCTTTTCGTAACAAAAGAAAAAGGTCGAGCCGTATTGACTTTACACACCGGACTTTTGCTCAAAGGGGGGGGGGGGGGGGGGGGGTCGGTTTATGAACACGCATATGCGTACCCTAAATAACACTGAGTGGGGGGGGGGGGCGGGCCCGTCAGTAATCACAGCGGTGGCGGATCTGGGGGGGGGCCTGCCCCTTGGGAAAAAACGTGGGAAAACGTGATTTTACCTTTTTTTTTGGGGGGGGGGGGGGGTGCACATTATCAAATTTTCGAGGGCCAAAAAAAAATGTGACTACACCCCCCCCCCCCCCCCCCCCCCCCCCCCCCCCCCATCATCGAAAACATCAATACATATTAACGTAGCAACATACAACAGGTCTCCCATAAGTTCAGTTGCGATTTAGGAAGAAAGAAGCTTCCGGATCGAAAGCACTATTTGCATTGGGGCATTGTCATGGGGTAAAGAGGTCGGTTCATGTCGCCTAGTCGCCTTACGAGGTCGAGGCCACAGCTAGCGAACTTGAATGACCGGTCATTTTTTTTTTTTTTTTTTTTTTTTGTAGTATTGTTTTATTGTATTCATTCAGTACAAAATATATAACAAACAAATATACAGCTTCATTGATTTACATATATCAAAA